GTCGCCGATACTGATGACGGGTGGGAATGATATCTGTGTGTGTGTGTGGCCTATTATGGGTCGAGAGGTAGGCGGTTTATTGGTGAACGCTGATACTGGTGATGGGTGAGAATAGTATTTGTGTGTGTGTAGCCTATTAGGGGTCGAGAGATAGGTGGTTTATTGGTGATCGCCGATACTGGTGACGAGTAAATGTATTTGTACGGTTAGGGAACATCGAGGGGCGGTCACAATTAACATGCATTATCTTTTAAATTACCAAGGGTAGGTATTAGGTTAAGTAGGTGGAGTACATTTAGGACTTCTGAGTTCCCTATTGTTGTATATGATGTTTGTAACCTAATTTTTACTATACTGAGTTGTATATACTCACTCCGTATCATTTACAGATAGAGTAGGGATGGAGTCAGGATCAGAGTTGCTGATTTCTGAGCCTAGCAGATAGAGGAACCGGGCAATAATGTTTTTGTCATTTGGCATGATTGAGTGTGTAATAACTAGTAGTAGTGTAGATAGTGGGTCTGTTGGGAGTTTGTTAAATTAACCTTCATTGTGATATTTTATGTAGGATTGCATGTTTATTGTGATTTTGAGTAATAGATTCGAGTCGGGTTTCTATGTTTGTGGTGGATTGGAGACGACACTTTCGTGTCTGGGCACAAAATTGTCTTAGATTACACCCTTAAAAAAAAAACGGAGTGTTACATCAATGTCATTAACAGTGCAGATTATAGGTGAATTAATCAATTAATAAGGATGTTGTTTTAATTAATTATTAGCTAGCATGAGTCAAAAGTAAAAATGGATCACAACTAACATTCCGTGATTGGTATTCTTCCAAGTATATATATATATATATATTATAGCCCATGATTGGTACGCATATGGCCTTGCCTTGATCATGTGCACCAATGAAACCATAAATTTGGAGAATCAAAGAGATGTTACGTGGAAATCTATTTGTAGCCGGGTGAAGGTTTGGTTCTGTAAATGTATTGGTCATGCTTCGTGTCCGTTTGGCATCAGTAGTGTCATATCATTAGTTAACATAACCATTTTAAAAATATTTTTTTATAAAATAAAAAAAAGTGCAGCGTTTAATAAAATTTTTTTATAAAATATTTTTCATATAAAATTTAGTACTACATTTAATTAATTATATTATAAAATAATAATTAATTATATAACATTAAAATAATTAATTACTATAATTATTTAAATTATAATAACTAATTGTTCTAATAATTTAAATTATTTTATTTCTTTTTAAATAGTAAAGAGATCATGATATTCATCTTTGTCTGTAATAACTTTACATTGATTAACTACAATAATGTTGATCTCTTACTATTTAACACATTTGAACTAAAACATATAGCATTCTTCTCAAATTTAATTTTTTTCCCTAAGCATACTCATATATAGTAATGATATTCTTAATATGTTTTAATTTTCTCTATTGTTATAACACTAAATATTGTGCTATCATCAATGGAGGATATATGAAATATTGATGGTACCATTCTGCAATACTTATAGAGTAAAAGTATAAATAAACTGTTAATTTTAGCAATTAAAGTAGATAATCCACTAAAATAATATTTTATTTTTCTCATTCACTTATAACGATTAAAACCAATTTAAAGAACACCTGAAATGATAAATAACCGTTGTAAAGGAAAAAGATATTTTGATGGAGTAGATAATCTTAAAATAATTTATAAAATTATTGTATTTTATGATAATTAAAGTATAATAATAGAAACGATTATCAACATATTCAATTACTTTGAATGTGTTTTGGTCTCTTTTCTCAACTATAAAAAGAGTACAAATTCTCTTTTTAAAGTCTCTTTCATCAACTAAAGTTTCAGAGTTCTTGTGCATAATAACTAGATAGAGAGAAGAAATGAGTTAAAGAATTATAGTTTTTATCAATGGGTTTTTCAATCATGTTATGACTGCATCATTTTCGAGTAATATGTAACTTTAACATTCTACTTGCTTTTTTTTTCCTTAAAATATGTCGAATTCAATAAAAAATAATTTTTGCATCAAAGTTTCTAACATATGCTTCATACTTTCTCATTAATAATGCTAACAGTCTTTCATCAGGGTCTGAGCTTTTAATAAATGTATTTGATTCAGGGGGACCAAGATGTCTGTTCGAATATGAAATAGCTAAAATCAAATTCATCGTTGTACAACTTCCTTTTATTTGTTTTGCATGACCTTATAACCTTTGACATATGACCCACTATTGATTGTTGAGTCCGTATCAATTCTACTTGAGTCAATAACTCAATAATATCTAAATCTAAGCCTTTTGCCCTTTTATACTATTGTTTATTAAATCTAAGACTTAGCTATATGAAAGTTTTTCCTGAAGCACGATAATTTGGTGCCTTGTATTCCCAATGCAAATTCTTTCCCATTATTTGAAAGTCTCTTCATTTATTTTTTTAGTTTTTCAAATTAGCCTTAACCATGAATTACAATAAGAACTCAATCTCCATGCTTTACTAATGATATTATTTAATCTATCATCATAAGTCCATGTAGACTCGCATCTAAATTCATATTTTACACATGATAGTTGGATAATATTTTTCTCTAATTTTCGGGCTTGCATTAATGCATAGTTGGAGTCACATGATCATAGTATCAAGTCAGTAAATCTCCAACACTAGCAATAATTATGGCCTCTCTAATTTAGAGCCACCAATAAAGGCCCCCAAATCAGATGGTATTAAGCATTTTAAACATATCTTATTAGTACACATATACTTGAGTAACATTTTTTTTTTTGCTTATTTAATTATTGAGTCTATGTCTAAACAAGTATTATGTCAAAGATTGGTATGAACAATTTATAATTAGTAAATTAGAATTTGAATCAAAATTTTACTTAATTTGAAAATTTTAATTTGTTTAACTTTTTATTTTATCTAGATATATATGTTTACATTTATATATATATTTTTTTATCATTTATTAACATTCAAGTTTAGCTAGAAAGTAGTAAGATAAAAATATTTAAAAAATAATTATTTCTTTACCAAAAATTCTAGATGTCTGTGTGTGTGTGTGTGTGTGTCTGAGTGAGTGAGAGAAAGAGAGATGGAGAGGGAGGTAATTAGGGTTGAAAAGTTTAAGAGATAGATCGAGTTTGATGAGTTTATTTCTACATTTACTTTTTGTACTTGTTATGTTTGAATTTCTAAGTCGAAGGTAATTTAAGATGGGTAACTGCTTTATGTTGTTTATTTTGGTAAAAATCATACATTTTGCTAATTAAATGAATACATCAACAATGAGTGAATATATTTGAACTTTTAAGCCAAACATTATTTTAGTTGGCTTGATCTAATTCAATTCAACACATTCAAATATGAAGATGATACACCTGAGTAATAATATCAAAAAATTAATTTTTATTTTATTTTTTAGTAAAAATCATATATTTTACTAATTAAATGATACTTATACACCACCGACACTTACATTCCTACAATAAAGACATTCAAGACACATAAAGATGATGAAAATACCAATTATCTAGCTAATATTCAAACTTTATAGATAAACACTTATATTTATTACAAAAATTAATTAATTGAATGAGAAAATTAAATTTATTATTATATACTCTCATAAGGAGAAATAAAAATATCAACAATTTAATGGACATGCAATTGTTAATCACAGAGTATTTAAATTTAGCATGAAAATTTAATTTGTAAAATAAGATGAGATGTATTATCATGCTTTATAAGTGAATAACAAATAATTGATGGGTATAGAAAATAAATTAATTTTAGATTGAGTTGGAGTTATATATATGCAAGGTGTGTCCATCCAACTCTCTGTATCATTGATATTATCGAACATGGTACAAACATTAAAATGATAATGCAAAAACTTCGATAAGAAATAAAGTAATCTTCAGGAAATGGTTGTGGCTCCTCCTATCACAAGAAGTTAAGCATATAGTAAGGTTTATTATCAACAAATATCTTTTTTTGCCAAATTTAAACCGATTCAGAAAAGTATGCATATTGACTTTATTTGCCCAATGTGTGGGAGAGAAAGGAAACAATTAATCACTTTATTTTAATCTTGTGATTATGCCCAAAAATATTAAAATTTGTCCCAATTTCACCGTGGCCTTCTGTAATCATAAGGCTATTATGGTTGGCTGAAATGACAATCCTCTATATTGGCAAAAATGTGGTTCA